AAATCAAAGCACTTATCCTGAAGTGTTCCCCACAGAATTCTGTGGGACTCTTTAACCTGCTTCAGTACCCCCCAAATTTCCTTTAAATCAGTGGAAAGGACCTAGAACCTTGTGTGGTTTTTTGTTTTTTGTTTGGACAGGACTCCAGTAATCTTTGGTAATTATCTCAATGTCTGGTTTGAGACACTGCAGGTTCATCTACAACACTCAGTCTTAACTAAATAATCTGTTGTCATCAATATGATTGACATCAGTATAAATAACATCAGTATAATTCCTCATTTGCCTTATCCTACAATCATCAAAGACCAGTTTCAGAACATAGATTGAGCATTCCTAATCTAAAAAGCCACAATCTCAACAACAGCAAAAACATTGCACCTTGTCCTTAAGGTATAATTCATTGGGACGACACAGTCAAATCAGCATTTTTTTTAAGATAATCTTTTATTTGTGTGTATGTTATGTGTATGTGCATGAGATGTATGTGTGTGGGTGCCACAGAGCAGGTGTGAAGGTCAGAAGACAACTCTGTAGAGTAGGTTCTCTCCTTCTACCTCTCTGTGAGACTGAGGGATCAAACTCAGGCTTGCATAGCAAGTGCTTTTACTCACTGAGCCATCTTGCTGGCCCAAATTACCGTGTTTGAAAGCACTTTTGATCATTTTTCTTTTCACTTTTTCCATGTGTGTGTGGATAAACATGCATGTATATGGAAGCCAGAAGACAACCAGGAGTGTGTGTCATCCTTGGGGTTGTTGTCTATTTCCTTTGAAACACTGGCCTAGAGCTCATCAAATAGGTTAGATGGGTTTGCTAGTGAGCCCCAGGGAGCTCCCTGTTTTGCCTATTTAGTACAGGGATTACAAGTATGTACCACCATGCCTAGCATTTTTACCAGGCTTCCATGGATCAATTAAGTCTACATGCTTGCCATGCTTCACTGACTAGGCCATCTCCTCAACCCTCTTCACTTTTTAGAAATTACTTTGGTAATTATACTCAATATTTACGTTTTAAAGACAAATCTATTAAAAAGGACATTGTCAAAGTCACCTAGCTTCTTTTGTATCTGCCATAATCCTTGGATTTAAATTATGTTTCTTCTGCTAATAGCAAACACGTTTACTGCCCCTATTTTCTTGTTCCAACAATGGCTAGCAATATGGTTTTTAGAGTTTCATTTTGCTCACTTTATTTAGTATGTCCTGATAACCACTTTAAGGCATATAAAAAGCATTCCTCTTTCCTCTATATAATGTATAAAGTTATATATATTATATCGTCAGGTTGTACTACTACATTCTAGGAAATCAGTCGCCTAATGATAGACATTGGGAATTTTTGTAATTACAAAGAACTCACAATTAGTAGTTGATTACACATACACATTTTATAATTTAGACATTATGCCTTTGGTGTAGATTCTTAGAAAATTACTCACAGATATGCACATATAATTTTAGCAAACATTGCCAAATTTCCTTTCGTGAGAGTTTTATCATTCAGCATTTCCATCAGCATTTAAGTCTTGGAATTTACCATGATTTATGATGTAATTTTTAAAAAAGAATCTAATTTTATGTTTGTCATATGGCTACCCACTTTTACCAAAAGGATTTATCAAAAAGCTCATTTTTTTCTCCACTTATCTGGGATATCAGTTAGTATATAAATTCCTTTTGCAACTGACTCTATTTCTAGACTTCTTGTTCTGTTCCATTGATCTCATACACATAAAATAAAAAATATATATTTTTAAATTTATTATTGCTATTTTATGTGCATGAGAGTACTGCCTGCATGTGGGTAAGTGCACCCATGTCATGCAATGCCTGTGGAGGTCAGAAGAGGGTGTAAGATCCCCAGGAACTACAGTTATCGACAGTTGTTAGCCACCATGTGGGTGTTGGAAATCGAACCTGGATCCTCTGAAAGAGCAGCCAGTGCTCTTAACTGCTGAGCCATCTCTCTAGCCCACAAAATAAAATATTTTTTTTAAAAAATAAAGAAAATGAGAGGAAAAAGAAGAAATGGACTAATAAGGACATCAACCTATTAATAAAACAGCTAAAATTCTCTAATTCTTTTTTAAAAATATTTTTAATTATTTTTATTTTTGTATACGAGTGTATTCCCTGCATGTGTCTAAGTGCACCTGTGTGGTGCAATGCCCACTAAGTTCAGAAGGTGTCAAATCCCCTGGAACTAGAGTTACAGACAGTTGCTAGCCACCACGTGGGTGCTGGGATTCAAAGTCAGATCCTCTGCAAGAGCAACCAATGCTCTTAATCACTGGGCCATCTCTCCAGCCTGAGAATTCTCTTTCTTACTTAGCTCTAAATAAAAGAAAATTAACCAGCAAATTTTAGCTATACAAATTAGGGATGAATACAATACTTAGGTCAACGGTCATGTTTGTGTTGACTAAGGAAAATATTACAAAACTAAATGGAAATCAATTTATTTCTTTGTGTCACTGAATGAATGGTTCTAAATATACATAAAGGTCAAAGAAATGCATACCGTACAATCCTCCCCAGCACCACCAGGCTGATTTAACAAGTGTGACGTGTCACTCTGGTTACCACTTGCATGTCCAAGACGATGTTTAACTGGAACTTTGTTAAGAACATAGGCACCCGGGGTCTGTGGTTTGCCCATTATCTGCAAATAAAAAATAAAGATATATGTAATAAAATTTAAAAACATGTCCAAGATTGACACAAATTTAAGATAGTGATTACCCAGGGGCAGAATTTAAGGAACTGAAATGAGGGTGGTACTTCAATTAACTGTAAGGTTTTATTTTTAGGCATTATGAATGGTTGTATTATCCATATTTTTTGGATGTCTAAAATATGTCATTAACAGCTATGGAGGCTGCTCAGAAACACAGTATGTATTTAGTATGCACAAGTCCCTGGGTTCAATACCCAGCACCAAAAATACATATTCATAACAATACACTCATACACATATATACACAAAAACTGCTAGTAACTTTGTAATCTTTTCTCCAATATACAGTGTTTTGAAAACTTTTTTTTTCCCCTTTAGGTTTTTTTTTGGTCTTTTTGAGACAGGGTCTCCCTGTAGCCCCAGCTGGCCTGGAACTCACTATGTAGACCAGGCTGGCCTTGAACTCACAGAGATCTGCCTGCTTCTGCCTCCCAGTAAAGATTTATTTTTATTTTGTGTGTATGAGTGCTTTGCCTGTATATAAGTGAACCACATGAATGCAATGCCTACAGATGCCAGAAGAGAGCATCAGATCCCCTGGAACTAGAGTCAAGGACAGCTCCCAGCCACGTGGGTGCTGGGAGTCAATCCAGGTCCTCTAGAAAAGCGGTAAGCATTCAAACAGTTAAGCCATCTCGTCAATCCCTGAAGACAGGTGTTTTAATTCAATATGAATAACACTGTGAAATGATCACCTCAAAACCATAAAGCAATCTTTGTCTACATTCTTCCATCATTCATCTAATATCTAGGGCAAATCTTTACATTTGTGTCTTAATGTAATACCAGGACACAAAAGTAGTAGGTTTAGATGTTAACGAGCAGGAATGATGAATGGAATTGAGATGATACACTGTAAGAACAGATACACACACATAGATCTTCTATTGTTTTGAGACAGAGTCTTGCTATGTAACCCAGGTTAGCCTCAAACTCAAGAGCTTTCTGCCTCAGTGCCCTGCTTGACTTTGTTCATTAGAGCAAGTTTATTCTAAACATGGTAACAACTAGATGGAAATTATCATTATTATTGTCAACATTCTTGTCAACATCTGAATGGCTCTAATGCATGGTGCTAATCAGTTCTTTGTTTTACCTATTCATTCTAAGACATACATACATACATACCAGGCATTATTTATTAGTTTAAGCACTAGGAGTAAAGCAAGTGCAAGCATCAAAATTCCAGTTCTTGGTCAGACATGATAATGTGACTGTACTCCCAGCAACCCTGAGGCAAATGTAGGATGATCACAAGTTCAAGGCCAACCTGAGTTACAAAGTTAGGCCTTATTTCAGAAACATAAAACAAAACAGAATCTAAATTTCCTTGGAGTCTTAAAAAGAATAAACTTGTCTATGCAAGAAAATGTAGGGCAATGGGTGGATATGAAGATGGCCAGTTCTAATACAAAACAAAGCACTTCAAGATTCAGAGTTTGGTGGTAGATAGTACATGTCTCATTGAAGAGCACTTCTTTTTTTCTTTTTGGGGGCCTTTTTTTTGAAACAGGGTTTCCCTGTAGCCCCAGCTGGCCTGAAGCTCACTATGTAGACCAGACTGGCCTTGAACTCAGAGATCCACTTGCCTCTGCCTCCCAAGAGCTGGGACTACAAGCATGCACCACCATGCCTGGTGAAGAGCACTTCTTAAACATGCCCATTTTAAAGATCCATACCCAAAGACTACACACTGTAGATTCAGTCCTACAGGTAAAGCTAAACAATTTATACCTAGGTAAGTGATCCTATTGTAGAACAGCACTTCTCAGACTTTAGGTCACTACAAAACTTTTTAAAACAAGATTCCTGGGTGTCACCTACAGGAATTCTGATTCAGTAAGACAAAGAGAGGTGAAGGCTGGATAGATGGCTCAGTGGATAAAGTATCTGCCCTGCAATCCCAGCACTTGGGAGGCAGAGATGGAATCCCCAGGGCAAACTGGCTAGTTAGACTAGCAAAATCAGTAGGCTCTGGGTTCAGTAAGAGATGTTGCCTCAGTAAAGAAAGTGGTCGGAAGCTGGGCGTGGTGGCGCACGCCTGTAGTCCCAGCACTTGGGAGGTAGAGGCAGGCAGATCTCTGTGAGTTCAGGGCCAGCCTGATCTACATAGTGAGTTCCAGGACAACTGGGGCTACAGGGAGACCTTGCTTCAAAAAGACAAAAAAAAAAGACAAAAAAAAAAGAAAGTGGACAGGATCAAGACAGGCACCCAATGTTAACCTTAGGCCTACACACATATGTAAACACACACACACACACACACACACACACACACACACACACACACACGCTTTCTATTGATAAAAAAGAACCAAGAATTTGTATTTCTATAATAATAAACTCACAGGGAATCAGATGCTGCTGGTTTTCAAATCAAACCACAAATGGCTCTAATGTGGAAGACTGAAGGCTATGAATTAGAAAATACTAGTTGGGAAGGTGAGATTAGACTTTTAGTTCCTAGGAAACGATGATTACCTTCTGTATACCTCCATGGACCGATGAGGGAGGAGACTGGGTGACCATCACCTGCTGTGGATGAAGATGCTGCGGTAGGCTGTGGTGTTGCTGGGAGAGGTGGCTCAGGGTATGCTGCTGCTGCTGCAGGAGAAGCTGTGCTGGGGACTGCAGTGCTGGTTGCTCGTTGTTTTCCCTATGCCACAGGACTCGAATGAATCGATTGTTCAAGACTGCTTCTGTGCTAGAAATGGCTTTTCTGGCCTCCTCATTGGTTAGATATTGTATGAGTGCTGCTTCTGGATCACCCTTAAAAGCAACCTTTAACAATAATGGAAACAACTTAAACTCCCAGCAATAAGAATAGTTAAATTAAGTGTAGTACTATGTACTGTGTCTGAATTTTATGTCCTCAAACTCCAGATGCTGAAACTCTAACCTTCAATGAAGATACAGCTTTAGGAACAAATTAAGGTTAAACAAGGCAGTAAATCTGGGATCCTAACTGAAATCTGGGATCCTTATGAGAAAAGGAAGAAATTCCTGGTCTCCCTCCCCATCTCAGCCATAAGAAGATGCTGAGAAGCCAGCTGCCTACAAGCCAGGACGGCCCTCAGAAGGCCCTTAATAAACAGTCCAAAACCTTGCTCTTGGGCTTCCTCACCTCCAGAATTATGAGGAATAAAGTATTGTTGTTTATTTCAGCCTATGGCATTCATTATGGATGCCTCAGCAGACTATTTTACCTATCCACATTAAGCCATTCAAAATTTTCTAAACACCATAAATAATGTAAAAAAATTTAAGAAAAAAAGAACAGAAGTTTTAAAACTTCAATGTTTAAGTATACTCAACTACAGGCTCACCTATAGCCACAAATTCAAAAATTCAAATACTCAAAACATGGACAGCAAAATATACTACAACTACAATTTATCTGATCTTGGATAATCTATTCTGCTGTCTAAAATTCTCAGGAACAGAATTACTCTTAACCAATTACTATTTCACTATGTCAGTTAACAGAAAAGATTAAAATGTTACACAATCAAAAAAATATCTCAGCTAGTCAGACAGAACATTAATAAAGGGAAGAAAAAGTAATTTGTTCAGCGAAAGAACTATAAACAAAAAGATTCAGTAACTGCCCAATGTCTTTCAAGAAGGGACTGCAGAAAACTCCAAAGGTATTCACAAGAACAAATTCAACGAAACACTTCCATCATATGTAACAAATAAGAGTTTATAACAGTTTGAAAAGAGATCAGAATTGCCACTGACTCATTTAATCCAGGTGAACAGTTAGGAACACTATCTAGGACTCATAACAGGCACAAATTCTATCACTGATAAAGCTTTATTTACCTGGATATTAACTATGGTTCCAAATTTGCTGAAGTGCTCATTGAGCTTAGTAATGTTGTTCAGTTCCTGAGGGATTTTTTTGACCTCTAACTTAGTGTTGGTATACTGATTCTTCCGAAGGAATCCTGGCTTATTTTGACTGTTATTTCCTTGTCTGCAACAAGAATTAATGAATCTTGGTTAACTCTTCCAGATAATGGCTAGTCAAGCGCTAACATCAGTCAAGATAGCAAAGTATTTAGAGTCTTATCATTCTTCAGAAAGTATTAAACAATTTTAACACTACCTTTATTGCAACAGGTGGAGGGAGAGAGAAAAAAGAATGCATGAACTGTTTCAAAGAGAAGAGGTCAAACTGATATTAAAAACCAAGCTATGGGGCTAGAGAGATGGCTCAGTGGTTAAGAGTACTGGCTGCCTGGGTTTGGTTCCTAGTACCCACATGGCAGCTAAAAACCATCTGTAACTCCAGATTCTGGAATCCAACACCCTCTTCTGACCTCCATGGGCATTGTATGACAGGGATGCACTTACATACATGCAGGCAAAATATTCATGCACATAGAATAAAAATAACCAAAAATTTCTTAAACATATTAAAAAGATCTACAATTATTACAACAAAGAGGAACATTATGCATTTTTCAACTTCTACAAAGATGTAATTTTTCTTTCTATTCACTTCCGCATTTCATAATGTTTAATACTGAGGTATAAAAATAAGTACAGTTTACAAATATCTTATCATAAATATCCTGTTAGCTTTTTAATTTCTAGGGCATTCTAAACATGTCTCCTGGAACCCTAACTTTGAGATACACAATTAGAAAAATCACCGATTAATGATAAATATAAATTTTTCTAACACAAATAGTAATTATATATTACTAATAAGCAAAGTCATCTTACTTTCCCAGCCAAGGTTTCTTTGTGAGCGGTCCTTCCAAACCACTCATAGCTCTTTTTCGGCTATCTGGTTCAAGGACTACTCTGGTTATGTTGCTATTAATTGAAACAGGAACCGGTGGTTCAGTCTGGATGACAATATTAGCAGCTGTTGGAAACAAAAGTTCACATTACTGAAATTTTGGGAAAACATCAAATGATTAAAATACTTAGTCTAAAGCTAAAAGGCACTGTGAAAAGCATTTATCTGCTATCATTTTCTTTTTTGTTTATTTTGCTGTATTTTGTTTAAGACAGTATCACTATCCCAGCTTCTCAGGCTAGGATTTGCACTATGTCCAGCTTATCATTTCCCTTTTAAAAAACGTCTCTCAGGGGTTGGAGAGACAGCTCAGTGGTTAAGAGCACTGGCTGCTCTTAAAGAGTACCTGGGTTTGGGTCCCCAGCACCCAACAAGGCAGCTAACTGTAACTCCAGTTCCAAAGGATCTGATGCCCTCTTCTGGCCTCTGTGAGCATTACATGATACAAATATACTTAAATAGTGCAGGCAAAACACACATACATAAAATAAATATAAATTTAAAAATTTTTTTCATTATTGGAGAAAAGTGTCTGAAGAGCAAGATGTTTATATAGTACCAATGTATCAATCTACAAATTTAATTATTTTTAAAATAGAAATATACAACAATTACCATCTTAGGCAAGGGATTCAACTAGGCATATCTGCCTCTGGCCATGGTCCAACAAGCAAGATCTTCACCATATCAGAAAAATTAGATACTGTGGAATTACAATTTTCTTATGTGCAGTAACAGTACTGTGTTATTTGGGTATTTCTGTCTGTTTGTTTCTTTTTTATTTTTTTTGGGGGGGGGGTGTCTCTCTGAGACAGCTGGCCTGGAACTCACTATGTGGACCAGACTGGCCTTGAACTCACAGAGATTCACCTGCCTCTGTCACACAGATTCCCCGGCCATTTGTCTGTTTTCTTTTCTGAGAGAGGGTCTTACTCTGTAGCTGAAGCTGGCCTGGAACTTGAAGCAATCCTCTGCCTCATCCCTAAGTACTGGGATATGGGTATGAGCCACCATGTCCATCTAGTATTCTGTTTATGAGACTATATCTTACTCTTAGATGTAAGATAAAGAATTTGATGAGTACAATATGTTTTCTTTCCAGTAGCTCAAAAAAAAAAAAAAAAAGTGAAGGGCTAGAAGGAGAGGAGCAGGAACAGGAGCAAGAAGGAAGTACACAAGTGAAAACGTGAGACTAACACAAAACCTTGCCTGCTAGACTAAATATTCTGCCCAGCTTTAGCAACTTCACCACATTACTGGATGTTGGGTGGTGAATATATTGTTTCATTTCATACTTGTGATAAGGGAGGAAAATCACAATATAAAGACTCATTCATTCAGAATGTATTTTTGGAGCAGCTATTTTATAACTCAGAAAGTATACTATATCCTAGGAATAAATTAGTGAATTAAATAGATAAGCTCCCTACCTTTATAGGATTTGTGTTTTCAGAAGGTTAATGGAGGCAGAAATTGTAATGGCACAGAGGCTTCTGGAACCTGAGATGCCATGATGCTTCCCTTATGTACTTATGGTTACCACCTGACATAACCTAATGCTTTTCTTTACTGAAGCACTTTATGATGGGGGGCGGATTAATACACACATACATGCACACAGGGGTGGGGATGAGGAAACAGCTGGAGGTTAAGTGACCGGTTCAAAATGACAAGCAAATGTGTAGTATGAAAACTACATGACTTCTATACAGAGAGATATTACCTATAGACTGCTATGTAAGAAGATATTACCTATAGACTGCTATGTATAGACAGATGAGGCTAGTGGCCAAGGGAAGATTTGAAAGCATCAAGAACATAATCTTCCAATTCATCTCAGGATATTGGATAACAATAAATGAATTAGAGAAAAGAAAGTCTGGAGTTAGCTAGACCTGGGCTCTAATTCTTGTTCTGTCACTTAAAAAGCTGTGTGACCTTGGGCAAATTCTTTCATCTCTCTGAGCCTTGGTGCCTTCACTTATAAAGACAGAATTAAAAGTTAGCCAGGGAGGCACATCAAGAGTTCAAGGCCATACTTTGCTACATAGTAAGTCTGAAGTCAGCCTAGGCTACATAGTCTCATAAAAATCAAACAAAACCACAATTAAGGCAGTATCTCTTTTATGAAGTCTTAAGGAATATAAGATTTTATATGCACATACACACATATATTATAAAATACACACATATTCTAACACAAAACTAAATAGTATTATTAATGGCAGTAAAGACTACAAAATGAGAATAGCAAAGAACAGAAAAGTGTTCACCATATGATTAAATCAGAAAAATACTGCATGACTAATGAAATTAAGTACTAAAAATCTCATTGCAAGAAGAAACTGAACTCTTACCATATTCAATAAACAATTTTTTCCCTTCTGCAAAGTACTGAGGAGTGTGGGAGGAGGAACGAACACATATTAAAGATAAATGTTTGTATTTAATTCTGGATTGACTTTTTTAAGATTTATGCCTTAAAAGCTTTAGAACAGATCCTGACAGATGTAAATCTTTTTGTTTGTCTGTTTTGAGACAGATTTTTGAGAAAGGGAAAGAAGAAACCTGAAAGAACAGTAGGAGATAGGTGTTACTAAGGGAGAAATGGACAAAATGAAGGTATTTAAATGGGAGGGGGGAGGAAGGGTTATACAAGGAAGTTTGGGATAAAGGGAAAGAAGGAGCTCAAGAGAGGTGGGACCATAGGAGACATATCAAGGGAGAAATGGGGAAAATGCGGATACTTTAAATGGGCAAGGCATGGAGTAAGAAGGGTTAGAGAGGGAGAGAGAGAGCAGAGAGATAAGAGTCCAACACCCTCTTCTGACCTCTGTGGGCACTTACACACATGCAGGCAATACACTCATACACAAAATATAAAAAGAATAAAGAAAATACTAAAAAAAACAACAAAAAAAAACCAGGGAATCATATAGTCCAACAACCTAATGACAAATTACACATACAATATCTCCACATGAGTCTATGTGTATAGCTGAAGGCTATGTAACAAGAAACTATGGCAGACAGGAGATACCTTCCTTTGAGTTGCTGGCCAGGGCAGTTCAAGAGACTCCCAAAATTATACAGGCTATTGCCAAAGCCCTTGATGGCCTCCCAGAACTTGAAGGTAAGACCCTACTGCTGAAGACAGAACATGCATTGAACACAGGATTTGGAGCCACAGAACTGGACCTGACCTGGAAGCCACGTCCCCTGAAGGCTAGCTCTCATAGCTTTGGAGAGTACTGTGAAAGGTGCTAAGGGAACATCAATTGATGGCCCAACACCAACTTTAAGACCAAATAACCATATCAATGACTGGCCCAGCATACGACAATGGTGCAGTAGTGACACTTTTTTTTTAATTATTTATTTAATAACCATATAATTAGAAGAAGCATTTCATGACAACAGCATTGACATATTCAATAACAATTTCCAGAGCTAAGATGCATCCCTTTCAAAACTGGCTGTAAATTTTTAGGGTTATATTTGAATTAATAGTTACTCAATATTGTACTCCATATAAACCCTATAAGACATAAAATTAAATGAGGTTT